GAGGTAAAAGCCTAAGAGGAAGACCACCAATTTGATAAAAATAATATTTTGGGGTTGGTGTAATAGGTTATGCTATTACAGATTGGTGTTTTCCTAGTTTTTCAATATTAGTGTGAACATTATAATATCATTATAATATTAATGTGACCACTGTAAATATTAACAATGAAACATTTTTAATGAATGTTCTTTGAGCAGCAGCCAAATGAAACAGCCATACTGGATATGCTGAATTCAGTTAGTTAATTGAAATATGAGGGATTTCTTTCTTTATTCTACGTTAAAAAGTGCTTATTGCCTTAGCCAGCTAGTTGCTATTACCAATATTAAAAACTACATAAATTATAGAAAGCTATCCACAGAGGCTAGCATAAAAATTACTACCCCTGCTGAGGACAAAATGATGTCTTTGGTTGAATTGCCAGATATGAAGTAACAGCAAGAGATAAATTATTTTCTGGGCCATTATTAAAGGATTAAAGGTGGATCCCAAATCTCTGTTGACCAGATTCATTTTCTTCTGTATGGTTGGTTTGTCTCTGCTCTGTTTTGAGTTATTATAGGGGAAATTGCTGCATCGTTAAATAAAGTTAAGAGTTGCGAAGAAAACATCTTACTGTTTTTATTTGTTGCTTTGGTTTTATATAGCATTGTCAGAGTCAGCTTTGACATATTTCACAGATAATCAACATTTTAAATTGCTTCATGTCTAAACAGATCTAAAAATCCTTCAAAAGCAGATTTAAAGGTGGAGTCCAAATTCATTTATAATCACTAACATTTTTAGAACTTAAAGTCTAAGTCTTCAGAATTGCTCCTTCCTTGTGTGAGCATAGGAGGATTGGTAACACAGAAAAAGTTTTTATCATATAGTTTTGCCCTTAGATATAAGATTCAATTTCTCTCCTGTCTAAGAAACAATATCTCAAAAGAAAGGCAAAAGGATAACCTTTTAAGAGAATGTGAGAGCATCTCTCTGCTGGACCATTTGACTTGGCCCATGATGGAATTGTATCATAGAAAAATTGAATGGCTTCAGATGTTATGAAACTGGGTCATCTCCCGCCATCGTGATTGATCAGAAACTACACCAAAATCAGTGGGAGTGGGAAAAATCCATGGAAATAATGCAGAGTTTAGGTATGTTTTATTGGTGTTTGATTCAAGGGTAGTTTAAACAGATTTTCTTTAGTTATTCTTTAGTATGAATACAGAAGAAATTTAGTTTATTTTCTAGGCAAAGAATAAAAGCGATGAATTGAGCACATGGGGTAAATTTTTTCCCCTTTGTATTCATTTCCTAGGTTTAAAATGTATAGGGAAAATATAGATAATTTATAGAAAAATTTTAAAATCGCATTTATTTCTGCTACCCTGTGATTCATTTATTCTTTAGTATGTCCTGTGTGCCAGACATTGTTCTAGGAACTGAGGTTATACCAGTAAATTCAGCAGACATTCCTACCCTCATGGAGCTGACAGTCCTATAGGGGAAGATAGGCAATTTTTAAAATGTAAATAATATAATGTATTGAAAGGTGATAATAACTGTGGAGAAAAATAAAGTGAGGTCTTCACATTCTACACAATTTCAGGAAGTATCATTCACATTCTATTTTATGAGACTCCCATTCCCTGGGACTGTGCAACATGGCTCTGCGAAGGGAGTTTGGAGACCTTTGGCAAGAGTAGAAGGAGGAGAGGGTGTGTTGAGTGGGTGGCTGGATTTCTTGAGAAGGTTACGTTAAAGGCTTGAAGATGGTGCTAATTAAGGGAAGAATTCTAGGCAGCAAGAAGAGCCGTGCAAACGGAAGAGCGTGTTTTTCAAATCCAAGGACCAAAAAGGAGGTTAGTGTGGTTGGACAAGAGTCAGTACCAGAACAGTAGCAGAACATGTCTGACAGGTTAATAGAGAGGCTTATGAAATGAGTGTGATGTACAGTCACCGGAACGTTCTGAGCAGAGAAATCTGATGTCTTTGAAAGGCCATCCTCACTGCTGTGTAAACAACAGACAATGGGGCACACAGTGGGCAAGAAGGGAAGCCAGCAGACCTATTAGGATGCTAATGCAGCAATGTGAGAAAAAAATGATGATGTTTCAGGCTAGAGTGATAGCAGTGGTAGGCAGTCTTTGGATTCTAGATGTATCCTGAATAAAAGGCTGATTACATTTCTTCTCACCTGACATATGAAATAGTAAGAATAAAAAAAACTTCCAGGTTTTGATACTGTTGTCATGATGGAGTGCAGCTGGTCCTCTATATCAGTGGACTCCATGTCTGTGGATTCAGCCAGTCACGGATTGAAAATATTTGGGAGGAAAAAATGGGTGGCTGCATCTGTGCTATAAAGGTACAGACACTTTTTTTTCTTGTAGTGATTCTCTAAACAATAAAGTGTTCCAAATTTACATAGCATTTACATTGCATTAGACATTGTAAGTAATCTAGAGATGACTTCACATATGTGGGAAGATGTGCATAGGTCATATGCCATTACTACACTATTAAGGGACTTCAGCATCCACAGATACAGGTAGTGCTCGACTTACGACCACAATTGGGACCGGCAGACTGGTTGTAACACGATTTGGTCGTAAGTTGAGTAGGCTATATGTACAGTTGAAATGGTGCACGCGGAGATGGTAGTGCTGCCGGAAGCTGGTCCGCACTGTCGTACGCCCAGCTGGGCAACATTTGTGCTGCCAGAAGCGGAGCAGTCGTGGCTAGCAATTGTGGTCGTAAAGTCGAATGATCGTAAGTTGCATAGGTCGTAAGTCGATCAATACCTGTACTGGTATCTCAAAGAGTTCTGGGACCAATCACCCATGGATACTGAGTGGCAACTGTATATCTATGCCATAATTTTGTATGAATTTTTCTGTGTTTAGGTGTATAAAATATTTGGAGGTTGTAATCCTAAATCACCTATTCATTTACACATTTTTTTTACTTAATGTAACACATATCATGACAAAAGGATCTCTTACACCCTCAGATGTCAATTGAGAATGTGATATTTAAAACAAAAGTTAGATAGCATTTCACAAATCAAACTTATTACCCAATACTCAGAATTGAGAATTAAAACGGGTTCTGTCAGAGGTTGAAAAGCGGCTTGCAGAACTCTTTTTCAGAAAAGAAATCTGTTTGGTTTGCTGTGCTTTTATCTTACCACTTCAGAGCTCCTTAACTTGAGAAATTTGCCAAAGAACTTATCCTCTGAGTTTGGTGAGGAAACCAAGAGTTAGGTGACTAGAGTCCTTCTCTTTGGCAGGTAAGAATGACCTCGTTCTAAGATGATCCCCGTCTATGCTGACGGGGCTCATCTCACCTAGCACAGGACTGGGCAGGCTGGTCTTCACGGTCCCTATCTCACAGTCTTCCCAAGAATACTAGTGGGGTCCAAATATTCACCTACCACCAATGCCTGCACACAGACAGTGGATGTTACTAGGTTCTACAGGGATCTCTTTCATTTATATCGCACATAGGCTGTTCCCTCACCTGCCTATCACTGTAGTCTGGCTGTCTTCCTTTCAGTCTTGCACATAGACTTTTCCATGTTTTTCTGCAGGCAATTATGTCATATTGCCATTTTGCCTGGAAGTCTCTGAAACGTTTTGCGCACGTGTGGCTTAAGTACCACATCAAAAGGAAATTCCAAGACAGACTAAATTTATTTCTTAAATCACTATTGACTAATTACATTACTTTATCTCTTTATGGTTTTGACATATGTTCTTAGGAATACTTCTGGCACACAAAATAAATTTGAATTAAATTAAAACACATTTTCTAATTAGAGAGAATTTTAAGTTGTAGGATGTGTCTCAGCCACTACTCTAACTTGGGATTTGCCTTTTATTTCTTATTAGAATGCTAGATGCTGTTCAGCTTTCAGCATATACAGCTCCTCCTATAAATGAGCGCCTTGCTTAAAGGAAAGTAGATGAAACAAGACAAATAGTGACTTACTTGGGCTTCCCGTGGGCATCACTGATTATCATAGAGAAAGATGCCTACACAGAATTAGGTACCTCTTGAATTTTTGTTGTGCTCTATGTTAAGGAAGAGAAAGATTATCTAAGTTTTCCATGGCCTGTAGTTACTCATCAATTCATTCTATATATATTTATGACATGCTTGTATGTGTCAGGCACTATACTATGCTCAGAGGGACAGATTGTGAACAGATACAACTACTTGTCTCGTGGAATTTATTAACTACTTACAAGAAGTACAATAAATAAATGCATACCATGCCAGGCGGTTGGAAGGGCCATAAGCATATGTAAACTGGGGTAATAGGACAAAGAATGAAGTCAAGTTGCTATGTTACATAAGATGGTCAGGAAAAACCTCTTTAATACAGTGGCATGTGAGCAGAAACTCATAGAGAGGGAAGAATTAAGTCACACGGTTATATGAAGAAAGCTCGGTGTGGGCATAGGGAAGTAAAGTACAATGCTGGCAATGCTGGCCTCTTAGAGGAACTGCGGAGAGGCCAGTGTGGCCATAACAGAGGGTGCAGAGTATCCTGGTAGGAGATAAAGTGAGGAGGTTGCAGGAGCACACTGGGCTTTGAATCCTTTCTTGCCTGCCATATCCCGATTACTGCTTTTTCCTATAAATCTTGAAGATGTTTATATCTTCTAGAGCTTTCCTTTTAAAAATTTGCAGACATTTAAAGGGTGTAAGTGCAGTTTTGTTACATGGATATACTGTATAGTGATAAAGTCTGGACTATTACCCAAATAATGTATATTGTGCTCATTAAGTAATTTCTCACCGTTCACACCCATCCTACCCTCTCACCCTTCTGAGAAATACCTCCAAGAAGAGACAAGACCTTAAGCTCACTATCACTGTAATGTTAATTTTCACGTAGTTTCTTGGAGATTTACAGATGACCAGCGAAAATTTGATTCAGAAAGGTTTATTGGTGATGATTTAAGGTGAGAAGGATAACAAGGAAAAAATGTGATAAAATAGATGGGAGAGCAACAAAACAAAGTTTATTTGGCATTGGAGACTATTGTGTTTTACCTACCCAGTCATTTCTGTTTAATTTTCCCTTTCTTTCCTGGAGGACTCCAATTTTTTAAATTTATAGTTCATGCCATTCTTCAGCCATATGCAGACATTTGCTCTGAGAAAATGATCTTTCTCCCAGGCTGAGGAGTGGTGACTCATGGGTAGTCTAATCCAATCATGATAATTCCACCTCCCTCATCAGTATATGACTTAAGAAATTCCATGTGACCAATTTTGTCAAGTGAAACATGAGTAGTAGCCTAGAGGAGAACCTTCTGGTAAAAGTATCCTACATTTTTAATAGATAGAGATAGAAAAGGTAGATACATCCAGATGTGGGTGGGTTAGGATACCGTGGCTGAAACTGCTGTAGCCATCTTGGGACCATCAGGGTGAGTATTAAACACTGAGGAAGATTGCCATGGTTAAGTGATTGGTATTGGCACTCTCTGCTGAGAGATATTTGCCTCTTACTTCAGAAAGGAGTTCCAGCATCCACACCAGAAGAAGAGAAACCTCAAGGCTCCTAGAAAGGGATACATAAGTTACTTGGAAGTTGCAGTCTCACTTGTGATAATAAGCATAAGGAACAATTTTTATATCTATCAACAGAATCATAGAATATCATTAAATACTACCTCAAAAAATATTTTCAAAAGAAATGCTTATCATATGTTGTCAATAGAAAGAAGTACATGAAAATTTTATAAAATCTCAATAAAATAATGCTTTTATCTAGATCTCACACATGAAAGAGAGGAGAGAGAGAGAAAATGAGAAATATATATTCATATATTCATATGGGAAAATGCCAGAAGCAAATAGACTTAATATTAATAGCTATCACCTCTGGGTGGTAGGATCAAATGGGATTATATGTGTAAATGTTTTTGTTTATTTTCATATGATTTTGCATTTCAATATTTGATAGTAAAAAAGTAGAGCTTTTATAGTCAAGTGAAAGTTAACAATTTTTCAAAAATCAAAGACAGATGAGCTCAGGTGTCCTGCAGGCCTTCTCTTACACAATTTTTGAAGTCTGGGAGTCCTTTTCATGAAACTGAGCAAGGCCCTCAGTTCACCTGTGCCCCAGTCCAGCTCCTGAGTCGCATTCTAGCCTCAATTTGAATACTTCATAGAAGTTGGGCTGTCTAAACCACTGTTCCAAAGAGCTGGTGAGATTCACTGCTGTTCATCCATTCAGTGCCTTCCTCTGTCTCATGGGGCCAACAGGCTATCCCTTCAGTGAGTATGGACCCGTCAACGCAGGGGTGGCCTGGGTTCCTTAGGCTGCCCTAACTTTCCCAAACTGCGCAGACTTAAAATGGTGGACTGTGGACTTCCTAAGGCCCTTCTCTTAGGTTGTAATATGACCTACTGAAGATCTAAACAAAACAAGGATGACAGTGACGAGTTTTACTGCATAAATATTTTTCTATCCCCAGGGCCAAGGCAGCACGAGGCTAAGCATGCAGACGACATTGCCAGGATTGCTGTGTAGTACAAATTAGAATTCAAGTCAGCTTGAGTCACACAGGGGCTTGGGGCCTCTAAGCTAATGTATGGTGACCTGCAGAGGCTAAAATAAGGCAGAAATGAGACTTTTTCACTAGTTATAAGTCTTTAAGTATGATTGCTGTCATTGGTAAAATACAACATTTAGAGCTAACATTTAACATTTCAGAATACACATCACAGCAGAGTCTTATTCTTCCCATTTCCTGGCATAAGCACAGCATATAATCTGTCAGATTACTGTCAGTCTAGGTTACTCTAATTTCAATGTCTGAGGAAAAGACTCGGTTGGGTACAGATAGTTTGCTTGGGAAGCGATGTCCTGAAGCAGGAAAGAATGAGTGGGGATGGTGGAGGAAGGACAATCCAGTATAACGGCATATTATCAAGTCACTGCTAAAAGGTTTGCAGCAAGAACCAAATCCAACAGAAACGTAAAGTTGGTCAGTAGGGTTCAGTGTCACTGAAACTTCCCGAAAAGGTGCAAAGGACTCCCAGAGTTGTCTGCCTGCAGGCTGGGAACCAGGAACATTTACCTACCAGCCCCTGTCCTACACTATTTGGTGCTGCATTGGTGCAATTGCCCTCTATTTTCAGGCTACAGTCACCCAGATAATCCAGCATCTCTGAAAACCAACTCTGGGAAAAAGTTCTGGGGCAGAAATAGAACACTGTGTGGCATTTGCTTGAGACGGGGGTGCTTTACACAAGGTGAGTCTATGCCTTCATGGAACGGTTCCCTAAGCTAAGATGGCTGAGGGGATGTGACATGGGCTACTAAAGATCCTGGTGATTTGCAGCCCTTAGAAATGGCGTTTTGGGAATCAGAGCTTGGACAAATTGGATTTGGCCTATGTAGTCTGTATTTTAATTCATTTATTGAGTACCTATTAAGTCCTAGTGCTGCGGAAACAGAAATGGATAGGATCCCTTTTAAGATTCTAGTTTGGTACAGCAAATAAGGTCCTTTAAATTAAATGTGTGACCTACTGTAATGACGTATGCATAGGACGCCTAGAGAGATTTCATGCGGTTTTTATTCCAGACTGACAAAGATCCTCAGGAAGTAAAAGTTGGGACATACACACGTAGTACATGTATATATATGTATACATGTATGTTATATGCGTGTGTGTATACAACTGGTTAATGTGTATACATGGCAGAGTAATGGTTGCCTGCATCACGTAAATTATTTATCCTTATCCAAATTCAAAACTAGAAGCATTTTAAGGTTTATGGAGTACAAAGGATCACACTATAGAATGGCTTTAGTGAAAGTGTATTTTTCTCCCAATTCGTATTTGTGCTTTGGGTACTTTTATGTTTCTTGTTTTCTGGTACCTATATTCACTGCAAAAATAAAAAGCATCCGCGAAGCTTATTCCTAGGGCACAATTTGTATTCTGCAGAAGAAAACCTTTGCACCTGCCACTAACATGCATCCACTTCTGGGGTGGAATGCACCAGCTGTTCCCCATCTCCAACGGCACGCCAGGCAGTTCAGCACCAAGAATGAGGCATCATATCCCAGGCCGATGAAACTGGTGAGGAAATTTCAAGTCGACAGAATGCAATTACCCAAATTGAAATTAGGCCAGGGGCATATCAGGAGGCCCTTCCCATCTGTTGGGGAAAAGGATCACCAGATATTTACTGAGGCCAAGTGGTCAGAATGTTAGCTTTAGGAATCATTTAAAAGGTAGAAAATTTAAAATATATCAAAGGAAAACTGCATCTGGTATAAAAATCGTATCCCTTCTCTGAAAAATAAATAATATTAGTGCCTTGAGAAGCTCAGCCCTTTCCTGCTCTGGAAGAAAAGAAATGTTTATGGCTGGGGAGGTTAAATATTTCTACATCAGCTACTCTTAGCAAGGACATGCTATAATGGACAATTGGTTATACCGGAACTGACAAAAAGAGATTTCCCAAACCAAACATATTGAATCCAATACATTTATCCCTGGTTATAATGGATAGACCCTTCCATTATGAGCTTATGAAGCAACACCATTCGATTTTTCTAGAGGCCTTGACATAAGCATTGTCTCTTTACCAGGAAAAGAAGCTAATTTTTAGAGTTTGCAGCAAAAATAAAGAAGCTGTTGTCGTAAGAGCTGTGACTAGTTCCTGTATGACAATTATACATGACAACCATAGACTCTGCAGGTCAATTTACTACAGGGATCTTCTGCCTGTAACCCCTGTCCTTGGTAACCTTTGTACCTTTTTCCCGGGAGGATGACTGCTGAGGGAATAGATGAATTTGTCTTAGTCTTTGTACCATTGTAAACCCAAGCATTGGCATAAGGTCCACACAGCCCTTTAGAAATAAATGAAAAAAGCATCTCACGCCAGGTCATGGTTTGGGGGAAATCCATGTCCATCATATTGAGCAAATAAACTGGCCTCCTTTTATTGATTTCTCTCAAGAATCTGCTTTTTTTTTGGAACTGAGGACACACATTTCCAGCCTGAGAGAGGAATAATGGAGGCACCTCTGGGGCAGACATCTCCTTTTCTAGCTGCTGCCTTTTGGAGATGTGGTGCCCTTAGGTTCTCATATGCCACACCCCAAAGTTGGTGCCTGGGAGCCTTCTCTGAACGGCCCCTGCAGGTGGCTATTTGATGGCACATTGCTAATCCTGAAAAACTCTCACATCTCTTTCCCATTGGATGTAGAGAGGAAGGAAATGAGTGAGTGGGTAATAAGTCTTATTCAGTATTAAAAGAAAAGCAAAATTTTGTTAGGGTGGTTCACTTTGCACTCTCTTTGCTGGCTGAGAGGCTGCATGTTTAGGAATACGAGAGAATGGTCCCAGCTGGGAGGAGTGAGACAAGTTTAACTGTTGAATTTAATGCAGCTGCCCACTATGAGAGGGAGGAAGGCACAGGCAGGCTGTCTACAGGCTGGGTCTCTTACTGTCTCCCTCCCCCAGTAATGCCGCCCTTTACTCATCACTATGGCAATTAAGATCTTGAGTCGAGGACAGGCATGGTGGCTCATGCCTGTAATCTACTGCTTTGGGAGGCTGAGGTGGGAGGATCGCCTGAGGCCAGGAGTTTGAGACCAGCCTGAACAACATAGTGAGACCTCATGTCTACAAAAAGTAAAAAAAAAATAAAAACAAAAATCAACCCAAGACAGGAGTCTCAAAGTCTCAGGGGCCTCACACTCACCACACAGTGCCAAACATTCCCAGAAAGTCTCCTACAATGAGCTCAGTACAACCTATCCTGGCCATAAATGGATACCCTTCTGAACTCTTAAGAGGTACAAATATTTCATCCTACCTACAAAATGCTAACCTGAACTTTGCCACATTTTTGCTAATTGGGCAGAACACATTTCTTAACATCTCTGTTTTTGATTCTTGTTTGTTGGTGAGTACCAAAGTACATCTCTCACAGAGGAAAACAGAGAACATATTAGTTAAGGTCGATCCAGAACGCACAAATGTTAAAACTTGGCATTATTTAGAGGTGTAGCTTGTACTAATTACCTCTTAGTTTTACTAGCCCCATATAACAAGCTGCCTTCTGCATATTTTATGTGAAAGCTGATTTTCTGAAAGGCTGAGAGATGTAGGAGCAGGGAATGAAATAGGTGCTAGGTTTTATTTCGTGCTAAATAATTCTCCTCCAGGTGGGTAAACTTTTAGTAGTTAAATTGCTTACAACGAAGATTCTACACTAAAAGAACAAATCTCCAGTGATAATTATTTGTCTGTGTTTTTAGCATTTATGAGTCTCAGTAAACAGTCAGTACATTTATGTTTCCCCCATTACCTTTGGTCATAAACTTCCTTAAAGAAAAACGAATAATTATGTTTCCTGACTGCATAATGAACATAAACATTCAGAATACTGAAGCCCTGGTGGGATGGATGAAGCATCTGGACTCCTAGGGGTTTACCTGTGTTTGAGGCACTGGCAAAAATGCCAGGCGGGCTATATGGCCATGATTTAGTGCTGTTCACAGAGATGTCATCTCTACAAGGCAAATCA